TATCTCTCTCTTCTTCTTCTCTCTCTCTCTCTCTCTCTCTCTCTCTCTCACACACACACACACACACACACACATTTGGTGAACCTCACAAGTAAGCTAAAAGATGCATCACAAACTTCATTTATATGATAAGGTTAGTAGAAAAAAGAAGGGTAAATGCAATAACTTAAACAATAGAAAAGGTAAAGAGGGTTGAGAGTCTTTTTCGTTTAAGTAAAGAGGAGGAGGTTGTTTGTTTTGTGTATGTGTGTGTGTGTGTGGGGGGGGGGCGGGAAGGGGAGAGTCGTGGCTTCTTATAGACCGGGCAGTTATTTGAAATAATAATTTTAAAGGGGATCTTTTCCTTAGTAAAAAAGGGAAAATTTGAGAAAGAGAACCCTAACCAGAAACCATAGCCAAAACCAAAGCTATTATCTCTCTCTATCTATTTTTTTCTAAAACAAAAAACGTAGTTGAAATTTCCTCTCATAAAACCCACTCTTCTCTCTCTATCTATTTCTTCCCCAATAAAAAAAGAGCTATGTGAAATTCCTCCTCTATAAAGGAAAAACGGTGGAGATCTTTCTCTCCAAAAAAAGGAGCTTTGAGCCCCCCAAAAAAAGAATGATTGGATCTTCTCCCCCAACCCCCCCCCCCCATTCTCCTTCATATTACTAAACTCAATTCCACGTTTTCTTATGTGGAAACACAAAATAACTTCCTTTATTTGCAGTCAAATGTCAAAATTTCATGGGACACCTTGATGGGACTGATCCAATACCTCTAGAGTATATTTCTAACCAAAAAATAGATAATGAAGGGGGTATCAGAAACTTATTGTGCTCCCAATCCTGCATCCACTACTTGGAACTATTTGGATCAAACCTTGGTCTTTGGATTACCACCACTTTACCTCAAGAATTCTTGCTTCAATTCTCTGATAATGGCACTGCAAAGAACTGAGATTGTTATTTGTTCCTCATATTCCCAAGTATTGAGTGCACATATTGTTGAACTCCGATTGGCGTTACACCAAGTTTGAGGTGATTCTTCATTTTGTTAATGATTTCTTGAATATGATGAAGTCGTTGTCCAATCAATTGCACAGGTTAGGTAAAAGAGTACAAACTTTTGTTGCTTCTGTTATGTCCCAAACTCCCACACTAACCTTTATTGAGCTGCATCCCTTGCATCTCAAACATAATCAAAAATCAATTTTCATGTTTCTTATTGCATGTTTCAAAAAAACGATAAGTAATGAGGACATGATGTGTTAAATGTCTCCAATACCTTTGGATGTGGGTGTCGTCGAGGATGGAAGGAACATAGTCAAGTGAGAGCGAGAAACAAATTCACTTATCATGGTTACAATGCTTGGAATTCTTCCTACATCATCATCATCATCATCATCATTATCATCAGAGCCTTTTTCCAATTATTTGGAGTCAGCTGCACGAGTCTTGATTTGCCATTCTACTCTATCAAGGGCCCTACCGTCAGTAAAGTCAGAAGTCCCTATCAATGTTCAAAAAGGCATAGGCGTCACCTAGGGGGTTTGGGCTATGGGCCTCCTAGCCGCTAAGGCAGCCGCCTAGGTGGGTGCCCAAATCCAAAGGCAGTTTGTGTTGTCTTTTTTAAAAACGTTGGATCCCCCACACCTCCCCCCATTCTATTGTATATACTATATAATAATAATTACAAATTAATATATTTTTTTTGTTTACCAATAAATTAATGATGACTATCACATGCAAAATGCATTTTCTATAAATTAATAATTATGAATTAATATTATTTTTTTGTTTATCAATAAATTAATAATTATTGTTACATGCAAAACGACAAGTGACCTAAAAAGTATAATCCTTCCACATAGTAATTAAAACTACTGTTTTTTAGTTTACCAATAAATTAATTAATATTATTTTTTGATTTACCAATAAAATTAATAATTGTTATCACGTGCAAAAAGCATTTTCGATAAATTAATAAGTACGAATTGATACTATTTTTTGGTTTACCAATAAATTAATAATTATTGCTACATGCAAAAAAAAAATTCAATACATTAATAATTACGAATTAATACTATTTTTTTGGTTTACCAATAAATTATATTTACTATCACATGCAAAAATAATTTTCGATAAATTAATAATTATGAATTAATATTATTTTTTGGTTTACCAATAAATTAATAATTTCTGTTACATGCAAAACTACTAGTGGCATAAAAGTCTAATTCTTCCATATATTACTAAACTGAATTAATACTATTTTTTGTTTACTAATAAATTAATAATTATGAATTAATACTATTTTTTGGTTTACTAATAAATTAATAATTGCAAATAATACTATTTTTTGGTGCAGGTCAAGCCAACTCCTAGGCGCCTTTAACACCGCCTAGGTGAGCACCTAGCGAAAGCCCCTTAGGATAAGCCACGTAGGCTACGACTAGGCACTTTTCAAAAATGCTGCCTAGACGGCTAGGTGGCCTAATTTTCGTTCATTGGTCCTATTTCTTTTCTCACTACTTCCAACCATGTCTTTTTGGACCTACCCTTTACCCTTTTCAGCCTTCCACTTGAACTAACTTGTACTTCCTAATAGGTGTTGTACTGGAATTCTTCCTACACCACATCCTCAAATTAGATTGTGACCAGCCAACTATCTCGTGTGTCAACTCTGCACATTAAGAAATCATATGGCAGTCGGTTGGTATAGATTTGGTCCCACCTTCAACATGTCTAGTCTGGTTTGAGAAATCAGGTGCCTTCATCCCCTCGGTCTTCTTCAATATACTCATTTCAGTCCACAAACCAGCATGCTATGGCTCAATAATTCCTTGTCCAAATATGAGCATGATGCAGTTGAATGATGGATCATGGATTCTCGACTCCAAAGCAGCCAGCCATGTGTCCAGTGATGTAAATTCTCTCTGCTTATTCCTTATCATGGTAGAGTAACTGTTATTACTGGTGATGGAAACAGTCACCCCATCACTCACGTCAGAAATGCATCCATTTCAATTCCACGTTGTTTGTCTGTCCCAAATACTCTTTTTATTTCCCACATTGATCGTAACATTGTGTTCGTTTGTCAGTTAGCTTCCAAATCCTGCATCATTTTCTCTCCTTCCTCTGTATTTGTGAAGGATTTAAATACGAGGAGAATGTTAGCTGATGGAGAATGACGTGGAAGTGTCTATTATCTGAAGGGAGCTAAATCCTCAAGTAGTTCGAAGTTCGCCACAGTCTTAGTCTTAGTGTCTGCAGTTGGATGATTTAAGTCTTGGATGATCTAAGTCATATAAACACATAATTGATGCTTTGCATCACCATGTTGGGCATTGTAATCACAGTTTCACTAAGAGTCTTGATATAAGGGGATTGTGATCCATTATTTTAGTCCAAGTCCATAATTTGTTATATTCTAGTTGTCATGCATTCTTTCACACACTTTGATTTGTTTCTCATAATAAATGAGTCGCTTATCCTTTTGAGCTAAGTGCATTCTGATGTGTGGGACCCTCTCCCAAAGAATCTATTCTTGTACCAAATACTTGTTACATTTGTTGACGATTATAGTCAACATACTTTGATCTTCTTAAGAAAATATCTTTGTTCACTGTTCTCCGACAATTCAAATTCTTTGTTGAAAACTATTTTTCCCCATAAAATCATTAATTTCTGAAGTGTTGGTGGAGATGAATTGAACCTCATATTACATGTCACGAAATTTGTTGAACCTCGTTTTACATAATCATTTTTTTTCTGAAGTTAACTGTATTGTATTAATTAAATAGAATCAATTACAGATAGAGAGAAGCTTCCATAAAGACAGCTTCAATCAATCTTTTTTTTTTTTTGAAATTTTACATAATCATTTGGACTTGTCTATCCTTGAAGTCATGACCATGATTGCATTCCATGTTCTTGCTGGTTGAAGGCGCATAGTAAAATCAAATAAAAGAAAAATCTCTTCAGTTAACAACTTTTACTATAAGCATTATAATTTTCTTTCCAAAATTTTAATAACAAGGCACTTGGTTATCTACTTCTGCTGTGCCTAGTCCAAAACCCCCATAATCATGTAGGGACTTCTAAAATGTTCTTTCCAATCAATCAATAAAATATCAAAGTATGAGAAGTTGTCCTCATATGACTGTGCGCTTGTGCTCAACTCTTCTAAAGCATAATGGTGGACCCACAAATTCTAGTGTGAAATGGTTATGAACTGAAATTTCATGACTTACTTTCTAGTTCACATAATAGTAATCTGCTTGTCTGTGTAGGTTGTGGGGAATGACTTGCTATTTCTTGGAGATCTCTCCTACTATGAGGACGTTGCATCTATTTCTTGGACGGCTCTTCAGAATATTCTTGATTGTCTGCTTCAAGTGCCAAATTCTGTAAGCATTCACTTCAATGTTTACGTTGAATTCGCAAGCAATATGCTCAAACTCGAAGTCAATTTTTGACCCAGTCAGAGCAAAAATTGAGGCATGTTGCCCAAGTTTTCCATTTAACCAAAAGCTCAACGCATTTTTCTGCTCAGAAAGTAACTTTTCTCTGCCTAACATAGAGTTAAACTTGAGGCCAAATCTAGCTACGAAAAGACATACTACTACAGAACCGACAATATGGTTTGGTTTAATTCTTGTTCATTTAGTTTTAAAACTGAAACACATAGCTCAGCCTCGGTTTTTCATAATAATTTCTTGAATATTGATTGTAAGAGGACATATAAAAGATGTTAGGAAAGAAAATAACATCATGGGTGAATCTTTTGCCAATAAAAAGTTGATAATTTCTATCCAGGTTACACAAGGAAACGGCGCACTTGAAGCATGTGACTCTATCACGATGTCTTTAAAGGTATTTCAATTATGTGCCCCTCCTTTTGCTATTTAAAAATGATGAAAACGGTATTAACCATCTTAGAATTCACTGTTTTTTTTCCGATGTTCAATTACTATTGAAGTGGGCTTTCTTTGTTGAGTGGTACTTAAAGTTAACAAGTGTAATTCTGCAGCTAACAGATGAAGTATCCAAGGTTTGCTATGAACTCATTGGAATTGCCCAGTCTAGTTTGCCTCAGATTAACCAGTATCTTAAGTATTTACTGGACGTCTTGAATAGGCAGTCATTGAAAAGTGCAGCTTCTTGATTAGGCTATGTTTTTATTGTACATGTTATTCTTACCAGAAGATTCCTGTCCTGTCCTGTCCTGCAAGATCTTCCTTTGTTTTCTGTGTGCATATTTAACGCATTGTCTTTTCCCCCTTGTTTTACCAATTACAGAGCAAAAATTATTTACCCATTCGACCTGACGTGTTCTAGAACACCAGGATCATTTGTACCATGCAGAGGGATCTCTCTCTCACTCTCTCTCTCTCTCTCTCTCTCTCTCTCTCTATGTGACACGCACAATGATAAATTACAAGGGGTTCAAAAATATGGTCCTACACTGTTTTAATGGCCATGGGCCTAGGGCTGTAATCGGGTCTGGCCAGTCAGGTCCAGTTCAAGATATAAAAACTTAAAATACAATAATAGTTTATATGTTATATGTACAAATGACATTAGCTGTGTTGCATGTAGAAATAAAATAAGTGATTATGCAAATAATCGTGTAAATTTATGCATTGAGAGTATGTAGATGTGCAATAAGCGTTTATATAAATAGTTTCATAAATATGCAATGGAATAGTACATTGATATGTGTATAGATATACAATGAGAATAGAAGAATATAGATTATTCAAAGAGCAAAAGATTTAGATAATTGTACGAAAAAGAGAGAGGCCCTTGAAAAAAAGACAAAGTCCTAATTGAAGAGATAATACGATAGCATAATATTTGGTGGAGTTTAAAATTATTTATTTGAAGATAATGAAAGACTTGAAGACTGGAGAGCAAAGGTTTTTTATTTTCGGTTTCTATCACTAAATATTTGTAAAAAGTGATTATTTGGTAGAATTATTAAAAAAACATTTTAAAATAATATGAGAATTGAGAATTGGAAAGCATGGGCCATGAAAACATGCTCAAATTCAATTAAAGAACATAAAACATTTTATTGACGAACTTTCAGATATCATCATATAGATATACAAAAGAGAGAATGTAAAGAGACTGCCATAAGGAGAATACTTGGTTAGACTTCAACAAATCTTCTTGAAAGAAGGTTAGAAATTTTGAATTATAGGATCTGTTGCATATTTAATGCACTAAAATGGCAAGCCTTCAATTACTAGAGTTACCTTTTATTTCTAGAGAGATAAAGTAGTTATTGTTGGAAATTGATTTCTAGAGTGAGCAAGTAGTTATTGTTGGAAATTTATTTTTAGAGTGAGCAAGTAGTTATTACTGAAAATTCAGGTAACAAAATTTGTATGTGAAATGAGAGAAATGTCTTATTGTTATAGAGTGAGGAAATAACCATTAAGTGGAGAGGTATAACTCTTTATTAGATGGTTATAATGGTTTAACTACTCAACAACCAATAACCACCACAATACCCAACATTCATATGGTGTATCTTACAATCTTTAGAGTTAGGGTCGTTTATAATTCTTATTATATGTATTCATCTCTTAACTTTGGCTTAAGGATATGGTATATATAGATAAACGTATATTTAGGTACGGACTCTAACCCATGCTAACTCCATTTTAAGGTCCCGAACTCAATTTTGGGGTCTTTGGGGCATCTGTTTCGCCACAATTTTGTATATTTGACCCAGCCAAGAATATTGTGAATAAATTTTTTAAAAATTTGCTTTCTAGAAGGCAGAAAATGTAGTGGATACAGGGTCTAGATCAGGCCCTGATGGAACTAGTTTGAAGTTTAAATTTCGTCATATCATTAGATGAATGACACAAAAAGCAAATTTTTTATTTAGACATAAGCCACCCAGGAAATTGATTGGCCAAGTTATGGAGTTGAAAGAAAATCGAGAAACAATCTTTCGTTTTTTTTTTTTTTTTTTATCCAAAAGATACGCAAACAAGATTTAACGCTTTTGGGAGAATCAAAGTAGAAAAACAGAGATAAAATACCTCATAATACAGAAAAACATAGCTGAAATAAGGTTTTGAAGAACCAGGGTAAAAAAAATAGTGTTGTTTTTAAGAAATGGTACAGAGGAACTGTAAACGAAGAGAACGTAATGGCCAAAAAATTAAAAGAAAAAAGAGGAAATTTGGAGCGCGGGAAATAAATAGCCAAATTGGGGAACGTCTATTTCACTGCCCCTTATGTTTGGATCAGGTATCTATTGGCCTAGGCTCTATGAATAAAGCCCCGCCTCAAAACACTTTCGACAACAAAAATTTTTAAAATCAAATTCCAACATCTATAATAAAATTTAAAATTCATAAAATAATACACTTCTTGCAGATCGATTAACACTTAATTTTAGGGCAAAATGGACGGCCTAGATAATTTTTTGCAACATATACTATTTCTAGATCTTTAAAACCTTCTTTTTCTTTTTTTATAAATATAATGTTCAAGTCTAGCTGATCGATGTAAAGGTTTTTCAATACTTATTTATACAGTGAGGTTTTACTTATTTTAATAGGGTGCTCAATATTTTTAGACATTTAGATACCTTTAAAGTGCTCAAGTCTAGATGATCGATGTAATTGTATAGACTATTAAAGTGCTGAACATTTAGATACCCTTATCCTATAGTATACTAACTTTTTGTTTAAGGGTATTTTAAGTAATTAGTCAAGGGTTTCTCTAAAAAAAAAAGTAATTAGTCAAGGATAAATTAGAAATTCCTAATAAAAACAAATGTATTTATTAACAATAGTGGACAATGACATCATTGATATGGTGCGGATGCATTAATTTTTTTTAACTACTAATAAAATACCACTATTTTTTATAAAATATCTATTCTACCCTTTTACATGATAAAAAATGCCCCTACTTCAAAAAAATTGCATTACAATTCAAGGGTATTTTAGTATCCAAAAATATTGAGCACTTTAAGGGTCTACACCACTAAGTGGCATAGCCAAACAAAATCCTATATATATATAGAGCAATGATCTAATGCAACGGTTGTATCATAGTATAATGAAACAACACTTCTAAAAAACAATGTTTGTGGTATTCGTAAGACCCCAAAATTTGCACACACACTCTCTTTATCTCAATAATCAAATCCTCCCCAAAAAAAAAAAGTTCAATTTGAACCCTAGGTATGGTTAAAATGACTCCCATCCAAAAACGAATATAGACCATTCATTTTATGAATTTCAAGATATTAGCCTTTATAAATCCAAAATCATTTTTTTATTTTTTAATATTGTTCATCTAATGATAATAAAGCCATCCAAAAAAATTGGAAATGAAAAAATCCTTCTAAGGCCTAGATCTAAGTATCTCACCAAAATGAACGGCCTATGTTAATTGGGCTAAAAAATTATTTTCTAGGTTGTGTTTTAAATTTTTTATTTTTTAAGATTGTTTAAGAAAATGAAAATAGTGTATATTTTAAAATTTGGATCAAACAAATGGCCATAAGAAGATTTTTTAAGGTTGTTGCATTATATTACTATGCAACCGTTGCATGAAATCATTATATATATAATGGTTTTTTCCGCCATTTGATTTATTTCACGGCATATTTTGAACATAATGAGTTCAATAATTAGGGTTTTTAATCTTTATTGTGTCTAGTATGATTTAAAATTTTCAATTTTACGTAATCTGGTCAATTACAGCATGAAATTTGAGATGAACACTGAGATGTCTGCGGAACCAAAATTCCGCTGTTTTTTTTTTTTTTCCGCCTTTTGATTTTGTTTTCATGATATATTAAAAATAATGTGTTAAAAATTTAGGGTTTTGATTCCTTATATTGTTGTTTATCAGAAAATATACTCAATTGGATGTAATTTATTCACTTAGAGGTGGATTTTTGAGTTAAAATGGCTTATGTAAAATGGCTCTGTAAAGAACAGACTTTTTTATTTTTTATTTTTTTATTTATTTATTTTTTTTTGTAATCCATGATCGAAAGTTTTGTAATACTTGATCGATTTTTTTGTAATCCATGATCGAATTGTTTTTTTTTTTTTGTAATTTATGATCGAATTTTTTGTTCTTTTTTTTTTTTGTAACCCATGATAGAATTTTTTGTAATCTATGATCGAATTTTTTGTAATCCATGATCGAAATGTTTGTTTTTTTTTCTTGTAATCCATAATCGAATTTTATTTTTTATTTTTGTAACCCATGATAGAATTTTTTGTAATCCATGATCGAATGTTTTGTAATCCA